CAAACATCTTCAGATTGATCATCTCGACATCAAGATACATGGACATGAGAAAAAAAATGGATTTCACGTTTTGAAAATAGTGATTTTGTAACATATTTTTTGGACCGTCAATTTCAAGATTTTCAAGTTTCCATAGATATGTTGATCTACACTAAGCTTTAAAATTTATAAGTACAGATGAAAATATATTTTAAGGCTGTCACAAAGATTTATAGTATTAAAACCATATTTCTCGATACTATTTGAAGGTAGGCTCTAATTTGATTGTTTAGAGGCTAGGCTCTATACAAACTTCACCCTAATAAAGGATGCACTTTAGGTTCTAAGCAATCAAATCATAACCAACCTTCAAATAGTATCGAAAAATGTGGTTTCAATAATGGAAATCCCTGTGACAACCTTAAGATATATTTTATAAAGTTTAAAGCTTACAAAATAGTGTAGATCGACACATCTATGAAAACTTGAAATTTTTTAAAATTGAAGGTCCAAAAATACGTTACAAAATACACTTTTTTCAAAACGTGAAATCCATTTTTTTTCTCATGTCTATGCATCTTGATGTCGAGATAATCAATATGAGGAAAAAATATATTTTTATCTTTACTTATAAATTTTAAAGCTTAAAAAATAGAGTAGATCGACATATCTATAAAAACTTGAAAATCTTGAAAATTAACGGTCAAAAAATGCGTTGCAAAATACACTATTTCCAAAGCTCGAAATCCATCTTTTTTTCTTATGTCCATGCATCTTGATGTCAAGATGATCAATTTGAAAATATCAAAACAACCTCTTCTAGTGAAATTTTTGAGGTAGAGAATTTTGATTATTTAGAGCCTTGACTCCATATAAACTTTTTCCAAATTAATATACTCCGTCTTTAATTAGATCATCAATTAACTACGAAAATTCAATGAAAAGCAAAAAGCATGCTTCTCGTTGTGGGTGAAATTCAAAAGCAAATAATCTAACCATATGAAGCATGCTTCTCGTTTAAGGGAAAAAGTCTTGAACTCAAAAAAAAAAAAGAAAAAAAAAAAAGAAAAAAAGAGAAAAGATAAAAAAAGAAAAAGAAAGAGAAAGAGAGAAAAAAAAAAAGAGAAAATAAAAGAAAAGAAAAAGAAAGAGAAAGAGAAAGAAAAGATGAAGTTCCTACAAGACCTAGGTTTTATATAAAGAAAATAAATCCTTACCTTAAATCCTCGTGCCGAATGCACTATTGGCAAAAAAAATATCCATGAGACTCTAAAATCAATTTTCAATATTGATAATAAATTTGAAACTAAAAAAATATACATATATTGTTTTTTTATAAACACTTATTTTTAAGGTAAAATAAAAAGTCTAGATAATTTGTTATAATATACCCTCCATTTAAAGCTTGAAGTCTCAATTTTTTTTTTTATAACTATAATAAGATGATCGATATAAAAGTTTTCAATCGCTTGAATTACAATTTTTGATGAGTCATGACACCAGACTTTATTTATTTTAGTAGTGCGGCAGCCATATCGAACCATTTTCTTCAAAAGAAGGCCGTCACTTTCGATCCCGTTCACTCACCCACTTCCTCTTGCTTTTTTGGAGTCGGCAAGCAAACCGTGCGTACCTAACTATCATAGTCAAAAAACTGAAAAGATTTCGTGCTCCCGCGCTTGAGCATAACTCTGCTTGCTCCCTCATAAAAGAAAAGTACAGATATAAAAATAATTGAGTAATGATCCTACGAAACTCTCTCACACCCATGTGTGTAGGATTTCAAATGATTATCATTAAATTTGACACAGATCTCTATAAAAGTTATTACATGGGTGTCGGACGTGACTTTTCTAGATATCTATGTCAAATTTAATGATGATCCTTTGAAGTCCTACACACATGGATGTGGGAGGGTCTCATAGGATCATTACTCAAAATAATTTTTGGAAGGCAAAATTTGGAGATGCAATAAGGCTTTTTATATGACCTCACACACAAACAAATTATATGTGATCCCACTTCTTAGTCATATGATCTTATTGGATTTCTCATATCACAATATCATGCCAAAATGTTGTTTGATTTTTAAATTTTTATAAAATATTTTAGACTGAAATTTAAGACGTCCGATCTTCTTATTGAGGCGTACCTAGCAAAAAAAGAAAAAAATTTATTGTGAAAAATAAATAACCAAACTGCCCCAAAGTTTTAGTGGTATTTTGATATTTTTTATCAAAATAAATATTTTATTATAATTTTTATCATGTGCGCCACTGTCAGATGCATGTATGTCTTAAATTTCGCTGCAAACGATGTACAGAATTAAAAAAAAAAAAAAACACTTTAAGCAGTCAGATCAAAATCTAATATTAGCCCAAGAGTGAACCTGTGATATTGTGGCCCACAGCCATCTTGATGGAGAGAAATGTGGGGTCACATATAAAACTTTCCGATTTTTTAAGCCTAGCTACTAATTTTTTTAAAAAAAACACGAAAAAAACAACTCCATCTGATTATGTAAGCCTATGATGCCCGGTTAAGGACCATTAGATCAAAGTGTTTAAAACCTTGAAAATCATTCTTTTGAAATAATAATTCATAGATTAAATATCAAAATTTCAAGTAGAAAAGAATGCTCTCGAATACCACTTTGGGCCGAGGGAGCAAATGGATAATATGCTCTTGTGGACGTATAAAAAAAAAAAAAAAGACAGATTCAGTAGTGGGAATCAAGGTGACTCGAACACACCCATACCCGTATTGGATCAGAAAAGTCTGCGGATCAGATCGAAAAAATTAGTAGAATTGGTATTTTATGTTTCAATTTTATTTAAAAAAAATAATCCAAGAAAAACTGTTCATCTTTTTTATTTTATTTTATTTTTACTTAGCTTGGTGAAGAATCAGTCGGACTCGATGAAGAATCGGCAGTTCCACAAAAAAATCGACGATTCTACTCTTTTAAACCGCTCGAATCCTGTTTTTTGACTTACTCCGGAGTGCTGTGGAGATTACAGATCCGGATGGCCAAATTCCAGATAGGGTCACCGATTTTTTAAACCTCATGGGAATACTCCCCTCGATGCCATTCTTGTTCCCGCAAAATACCAAAATATCGCCGAAATTAACTGAAACCCTAGGCAGTAAATCCGTAGTCTGGCAGAATAACAGTGTCACACCGAAATATTGCCGAAATTAAACGAAACCTAAGGCACTAATTGGTAGTCTGGCAAATAATATGGTGTACAAAATAACCCGTGAGAAAATTGGATAAAATAATGGAAGGACCGTCATGGTCCTGAGGGATCAAAATGTCGATTGCTACCTCGAGCATTTGAAATTTTAAAATTATCTAACTTAATCACTTTAAATGCACATCTATTATCAATGATTTACAAATTGCTCCACAATTTATTTTATGGGTGCGGTTTGTAAAAGGTCGAGGCTCTAAACAATAAAAGTAATGCACACCTTCAAATAGTGAAAAAAATGTGGTTTCAACACTGAAAATCTTTGTGATGCCTTTAAAATATACTTTTATCTATAATTATAAAATTTAAAGCTCAAAAAATAGTGTAGATCGTGTAGATCTATGAAAACTTTATAATCTTGAAAATTGACCATCCGAATTTGCATTACGAGATTGCTATTTTCAAAACTTGAAATCTGTTTTTTTTCTCATATCCATAAATCTTGATATTTGGGCATCAAAACAACTTCTTTTAGTAAAAATTTTTATAGTAATTTGATTGTTTAGAGTCTTTCACTAATAAAAACGTTTTCTTTATTTCATGTATTATTCTCCTATGTATCTATCCTCTCAGTCAAACGACCTAATTAAGAAGATTTTTTTAGTCAAAAGCCTTGTAAACCACCTAAAAATTTGTAGAAGATTATCTTAAAAAAAAAACAAATTTGAATTTTTATATTTTTGAAGCTTAACTCGCCCTTCAAAAATTGGACAGTCTATATTCAATCTTGAGATAGTATTTTCATCCATATAGAGCTCAATTTTGAAATATTTCCTTTACATCTTCAAAATTCGGTGTCCTAAATTATTCCTATATTGGGTTTTACCTGAGGAAGTAAATTGTCGAGAAAAAAATCACACACTAAATTATCTTGTTAAAATTAAAACAATGTATTGGAAGAGCATTTACACTATGCTCCTCGAGAGCATAGCTTAACTTTAGTCCCTTGATTTGAAGTCTAATTTTTGAGAACCACTTAAGAACTACCTCATGATTATTCTAAAAAAGTGAAAATTGAGTTTTTTAATACTTAGATCACACCATTAAAAAAAATTAGATAGTTTCTATTCAATTTCGAGACATTATTCTTTTCAAATATATAGAGGGAATCTATTGAGGTTAATTTATAGGTGAAGAGATTACCTCCTCAAAGTTTGAGCTCCTAAATTTAATTCTAGGTAGGGTTTTAAATGAGGGAGTAATGAATGTTTTGCTCCCGCGGGAGTAGAGTATCTTTTCTCTTAAAACAATTTAAATTTATCAAGGGCAATTACATCCGAGCCGAGGCGCCTTAAAAAATTTCGCCGAAAACTACGGAAATATAACGCCGTAGAAGCCGACCCCATCCACGCGGAGCGAACACGTAATGGGGGACCGAAAATTTCCCGAAATCTAACGAAATTTACCACCGTAAAACGCAGGGAATCGACCACCATTGTTCACCTTCGAGGAAAGAACAAGTCCAAAGCAGGAAACATGGTAGAAGAAAACAAGCAATCAGCAGTTGGAAGACGCCATTCTCACGACTGCAACTGCCTCTTGCCTCCTGTCTTCCTCTCTCTACAATTGCAACTGCCATCCTCTCCTTCTCTCTCTAAAAAAACCAGACTCCCATCCTCTCTCCCTCTCTACTAACCAGAATTTATGACTTCTCTCGCCCTCTGAAACCAGACTGCTAGCATCTTTCTCTCTACTGACCAGAGTTACTGAATTCTCTCTCTCTACAACTTTGACTGCCTGCCCTCTTTCTCTCTACAACTCGACTTCCATCTCCTCTCTCTCTACACAAACCTGAACTGCTCTCTCTCTCTAATCCACTGCCATCCTCTCTCGTCCTGTCTCTCTCTCTCTCTCTCACTATACAAAGAGGCGCCTAATGCTGGATCCGGAGAAACTCCGGCGCCGGATTCTGGAGAGTGGCCCGAAAGGTGGAGTTTGGCGGCAATCTCGGTCCTTTGGGGGAAGGAGCCATCGTAGATCGAGAGAATCCAGGCCGAGTCTCACAATACACGGGCCTAGGGCTCAGTCTGGGTCCAGTTATAGGAAAACCACGCCCAATCGGAGACTGTTCCGGTGTTTCTCTGAACCCATACTATGGTCATTTTCCGGCGAATTTTCCGGCGAAGATGACAATAAGATAAAGGGGGGTCGCATTTTCAGGCCGAAAACGTGTAACGATGTCTTCGCAACTCATTCTAAGCTCCCGCCTCTTTCTCCCTGTCTCAGAACCCCCGAGGTTTGAAGCTTGAACTCTCAGATAGAAAAACCCAATTTTTTTTGAGTCATTTTTCCCAAATGAAAAACCATGGAATTTCTTGGTCAGTTTTATTTGAAATTGTCTGAAAATTTTTTTTCCCAATTTTTAGGCAAAAAATGCGACGAAATTTGGCCCGATTTTGAGTTTCTTTTTAATCTGGATTGATTTGTTGATGGAAAACTTTCGGATTGGGTCATGATTTCAGCGAATCACGGTGAAACTTTGACGCAATCTCAGAAAATTTCCCCGAATATCTAAAAATTTATCTGGAATTTCAATATCCAATCCCTAATTTTCATGTTTTTCTGGCTTGAATGAAATCGGAAATTCTTTTTTTTCTATTTTTTTTGTTTTTTTGTGATAGGTTTTTCTCTTCTCATTGGCCTAATGTTTTGAAATTGTGTAATAAATGGTCTATGTAAAAGGAGCAACAGTTGGATTTGCAGGTAGAACTATTTCGGGCCGAAATTGAAAGTTTTGGTCCAGTTGCGCACCCATCGTTGGGTCAAATAAATCCCAATTCGGTCTGCAAAAAGGGCAAGAATTGGTTACTGGGACAAATTTCTTCCAATTTTATATGTTTTTTTTTTTTTTGAACAATGGATAATTTATTTTTTCCAATTTCATGTCTTTTTTTGTGTGTAATGGATAGTCCAAATCCACTTTTGCCTCTGGTTTTCATTTCATTTCGCTAAATTTCAGTGATTCTCGGCCGCATATGGGGAACTCTGTTGAAATTGGGTCGAAATTTCGTTGGAATTAAGCCAATTCAGAAATCAGTAGTAATTTGAAAGAATAACTGATTTTGGAACAGATTTAATCTGAAATTATGAATCTATAACTACCCTATTTCACTGCCTGGGTTGATCCAAGCTCAAATTGACTAAAAAATAGACTGAAAGTTCCCACAAATTTCACTTAAAGATTGGATTGACTGAAAAATAGACTGAAATTCATACAAATTTCACTGAAAGATTGGATCGAAACTCTCTTGAAGTTCACTGAAATTTATGGCTGAAACTCTGTTCAATTAACTGAACTTTAACGCCATGGAAGCTTGAGAAAATGGAAGGATTGTGATTTTAGAAAGATGTTTTTTTTGGGGTTTCAAAGATGCACTAAATTTAGTGGAATTCGAAGCCATGTAAAGCTCGATAATCATGGAAATTGTGATTTTTCCTGATTTGGGGATATTTCAAAAGACTGTTTTTTTAATGGACTCCAAATTCACTGAATTTTGAAGCTATGAAAGCTTGATGAACATGAATCATGGTGATTTTTGAGGGATTTTAGAAGATTAGTTTTTTGTGTTGCAGAGATATAGGGATGATTCGAAGGTGGTAGTGAGTGTTACAGTGGAGGGGAGCCCAGGGCCTATAAGAACCATGGTTAGGATGGGGCAAACAGTGGGTGAGACCATAAACTCCATTGTTGATAGATATGCAGAAGAAGGCCGTCGCCCCGTGCTTTCTCAAGACTCTTGCTCCTTCGAGCTTCATCATTCATATTTCAGCCTAGAAAGTAAGCCTCTCTCTCTGATCAGACACAATTGGCTGGCGTTCTAAATTCCCTACACCATTGCAATTCAAATCTCAGCCTTGAAATTAAGCCTCTTTCTCAAAGGTTTAATTGTTTTTGATGCAGTTGACATGGGTGCTCTCTCTCATGCTAGATGAACATGTATATTCTTAGAAACAGTGTTTCAAAAATCTGTGTCTGCTTCTGTCACTCACAGAGTCGGACTGGATTAGGAGGCTGGTGATTCTGCGCCAAAATGTTTTGGAATTGCCCTAGTCGAGTTGGACCGGATTAGAAGTCTGGCGATTCTGGGCAGGCTGGTGATTCTGCGCCAGAAATTTGTGGAATTGACCCAGTCGAGTCGGACCGGATTAGGTGTCTGGCGATTCTGGGCGAATAGATTCTGGAACTGGCCAAACTCCAGGTTTTCCAGTATTTTTTAAAATTTTATTGTTAAAAACTCCCCATCCAACTTGGGATTCAGATCAAGGGACTTGGTCCTAGACCCTTGGCAGGTCAAGGCTGAGTCCGGCTTTTAAAAGCAGCTTAGGAATGACCGGAAAATCAATAGCCATTCTAAATTGTAAAAATGTACAATGACATCATTTACCTTTGGTACAAGGCACTCACAATTAATTTTGATTATTAGATGTGAAACGGGGTGACTACATTTATTCCTTTGACCAAGCACAAGATTCAAAAGAAATTTTTTCGAACTTTATAATACACAAAGCTATCAAATTTCACATTACATGGTTATCAAATTTCACATTACATGGTTATAAAGAATTGTGACCTCTTTGTACCATAGATAAATATTCACCGTATACAATCTCTTCTAAATTTTGCAGTTTTTTATTAGGTGAATCAGTAGGGATATCGGCCCTACCCATTTTATTAAATAATCAAAATAAATATTACATAACCAAGCCCTACCCATTTTATTAAATAATCAAAATAAATATTACGTGACCAGTTCTTGACAAGGGAACACCAGTAACATAAGATAGAATGAAAGGCGTTAAAAATTAGGGGGTGAGCATGGCACGCCATTGCATAGAAACCATTTTGCAGAATTCCTATGCTTGGTTTTGATTCTACAGTTTTTGCCTCTTTTTTTTTTTGGTATTCTGGATTTAATTAGATCTCTCATTGTTGGGCAGGTATAAGTAAGATTGATAGGGTTGGAGATTTGGGTAGTCGAAATTTCTATCTCAGAACCAGTAGTAGAAACAGTGAGGGGGAGGATTCACCTCCCTCCATTATACCACCTCCTCTATTCACCTCTTTTATAGCCAGGCGTATCAGAAAGATTGGGAGGAGAACACGCAAAATTTGGAAGATCTTGGGTTGCATGGTCTGTGAGTAAGATCGTTCTAAGACCATGTTCTTGTTTTAGAGAGAGAGAGAGAGAGAGAGAGTGCTATTTGTTTATAGCTATTTCTCTCACT